AGGTTCTCAAAGTTCTCTTAACTTTGAGAACTACAACTTTCATATAAAGTTTGATTCCTATCCAGATGTCATCGAGATGCATATATACCTATTACATAAAAATTAATAAAGAAAGAAAAACCTCTTTGATGATTATTTTTTTGGGTTATTCATGAAAATTAGTAGTCAAAATAAAATTTTATTTTTATTAATATCCGTTGAGTTATATGTACTACGTACTAAAGAAGCCATTCTAAACAAAACATGTGCACTACTCAATGTCTTCGCGCATGCGCAGTTGATTTAAGCGCGTTGCGCCTGCGCGGTCAGTTTTTAATTTAAAATTTAATTTGAAATCTTGTATTATTAGCGCCGCTCCACACTGCATGAATATTGAAACCACAGACTAACTAATAGATTGAAACCACACTAAATGACACACTGTACGGATTGCAGTACAGTTCAGTTGAACATAATGTATGTTCGGAATGTGAGATCTAGTACGTAGTACATATATATCGATGTTAATATCCCTTGTATTGTGCTCAACCTTGACATTGTTTAACAATCATCAGTTAAACGATTGAGTCTTTTTTTTTTCAGAAAGATACAGCCTATATACGTCACCGGTACGTTTTTGGTTGCACAAATTTCGGCAGCCGTTATGAAATCGAACCCAGGCACTGTACAGTACCACACTGATCATTAAACTAAAGAAATGAGGTGAACATTACAATTTATTTATTATTAAACTATTTCTTATTACGAAATATTGTAAATTTATTAATTATTATTTTATCATTTAACAATCAATTCAAGCATGATTTAAAGTAAATAAGTCATAGAAACCAATTACAATAATGAACAATCAAAAATATGCAATGTTAGTTTGAATTAAATATGAACCATGAACCCGTGATGCAATATGAAAAATTAAGGATATTTAAATGATATATACGCTAAACGAAGCCACAATAACAATACAACCGTATAAGCTCACGCGGGGATCGAACCCCACAACCTAAGGTTCCTTAATCAGGCACTTTCACCACCGACCGAGCTGGTCGGCGAAACATAAAAAAATATTTTTTGATAATTTTTTTTATCTTTATTTATATAAAATGCCACAGATAAACTATTTGTTAAACCTATGTTCATTTTAATCTTTTTTTTTTTGGTTTTCCTAAAATTTTCATTTTTCTTCCTAACATTTTTCTATTTCGTATAAAAACTGTACAAACTATTTACAACTAAAACTGTACAAACTACTACAAACGATTTCTCTCTTCACATTAACTTAATGATTTCTTAAATTTACACGAATACGCGACTTTGAACAAAGTTAATTATACGGATTTTATCGCGTTTAATTTGAAACCTAAATTAAAAATCCGTAAAATGTTATTTTAATAATAAACTTATTTACTTACTAAACCAATATTTAGTGTGTTATTTTATTATTTTACATGATTTATACCTACAATATTTTACATCATTTACAAAAATGTTTTTGACAGAGTAATGAAAATGAATGCAAATGTAAAAAGAAATGGCGCGAATAAACGAAAAGAAATATATATATATATATATATATATTATTATATATATATATATATTATATATATATTATCTGTATTAAAATGAATATAGAAAATAAATCACTCATTTCAATCATAGAAACATAACCACATTAAGAGGTAATAGTTAATAGAAAATACTAACAAAGCAAATTTAATACAACAGAAGTGAGCGGTAGAGTCAGTAAGGAACGACCTAGAAAAGTCCAAATTAGCGATATGTCAAGATAGACCAAATTAAAAGTGCCCTTAACCGACGTGAGGGGTTTCGCGATATAAAAATAATAAAAGTGCGGTGGCGATAAAAAAAAATAAAGAGATAAAGCACCATCATCAAACACCAAATGGTCTGCCCAGCTGAGTATAGTGCCACCAACTTATCTCTTCAGGTGGACAAAATTGGAACTAAGGCCGCCATTTTGTAAATGACATTTCTTTGTCAACTATTTTTTATTCAGAGTGTTTGAGAGAAAGTGCAAATAAAATGCTTAAAGCTTTTAAAAGTGATACGCGGCAGATTATCCTAAAAGTTTTACGTCCTATGAAAGAAGAGAAACGTTTACAAGCACCAATTATACCATTTGAAAAGCTGTATGAACGCATTGCTGCTGCGACAGGTTAGTATTGCCAGATATGGACAATTAAAATCACCAAATAATGTACTCGTGAAACATAAAATTATCTCAATTTACTGTCATCCATCTAAAATACCAGGGTTTGTAGTTTGTGGTCTAGGAAATAGCTTTAGTGAGGGTATATTTACGGGCTTATATTTATTTAATTATACCTATATAATAATTATTTGTCGTTTTGTTATAGGTGTTTCTGAGCGATTTGTACACAAACTCGTCAATGACGTAAAACACGCTGAAAAAGCCAATTTTAAAACTTCTGCCCCTGGCAAAGAAAGCAAAGATAAACCGGGAAACAAGAAAGTGATAATTTTGACATTGGACAAAAAGAAAAATTCACGAATTTTATTCAGTGAGAAAAGAAATTCCTACCATACCGAAATAAATAAAAAATATGAAAAAATATGAGTTAATGAAGAGAAATAAACCTGCTCCGGAATATGGAATTGATAGCCTGATGAAAGTCATGGCCATAATATTCACATGGCCACCTGATCATTGCGACTTGAACGCAATTGAAATGATATGGAGTTCTAAGAAAAGGAACGTAGCAGACAAAATGTTGGAAAACCTAATGTTCAAATGCCCCAAACAATTGAAGATGCAGACCATAAAATTACACTGGTGGAGTGGAAATATAGTGAAAAAAAAATGAAAATGAATACAGATACGATAACAATGAAAGTGATTCCAGTGACGCAGAAGATGAATTGTTGTCACCAGTAGCTAATGTGGGTACATCATTCAAAACAGGAATTCCTGGAGTTCTGCCGCTTGAACTTCAAGATCACAACCACAATTATTATTATAAAATATAAATATTATATATAATAACACTAATTTTAATATATTAACACAAAATTTGTTTTATTTTACATTATGTGCAATGAATATGTAGTCACCTATTACCTCGGTAAATTTCTTAAATGGCAATAGTAAGCACTCCACTAGCGACTCTGTCAACTGAACAGATAAGTTGGTGGCACTGTATGTACAAATATTTCAAACAATACGTCAGTGTTTTATGAGATTATTATTTTATGTCAGAGTTACTCTCAACGGAGACTAGCCATCTGTACAAACAGAGGTGCGCAAGCACAGGCTTTAGGAGATTTTTGATTGAATTTAGGAAAATCAAAAAATTGTGTTTTTGGTCAACAATCAACAAATGATTGCTCCGACCGGGATTAGTACCTGACATATTATGTCCCACAATAAAATATTAATGATGTTAATAAATTCATGTCAATGAATAACACGAATTGCATTAATTGGTGCATTCGACAACTATTTTACTAAGAAAATTTAATAGAAATTCATAAGACTAGAAAATATTATTATTGATAAAACAAAATAAATGGACAAAATCATTGAGTTATATGTACTACGTACTAGAGAAGCCATTCCAAACAAAAATTGTGTCCTACTCTATGTCTTCGCGCATGCACGGGAGATAGTAGTCGCCGTTGAGCGAAGACTTTAATTTGATATAAAATAAGATATTAATATAAAATAAAGATAAGAATTTAATATAAAATATCTTAATTTAATCAAAACAAACATATATCTATTATTTTATGGAATTCAGAAATCTTCAATTTACACAATATTTAGTTTGTAGGGATTGCACTACAGTTCAGTTGAACATAGTCAATGTTCGGAATGGCTTCTCTAGTACGTAGTACATATAACTCAATGGATAAAATATTATTATTTTATTTTCTATAGTTTCTAGTTCACAGACATCTATACAAATAAATAAAATTGAAGTGTCTGTTTGTAATGTCAAAATTACAGTTTTTTACTAAATGCATATGAAAGTAAATACGGTACCTATAAATAAAATACAATTTTTAAAATTTTTGTCTGTCTGTCTGTCTGTTTGTTCCGGGTAATCTCCGAAACGGCTGAACCGATTTTGAAGGGACTTTCATTAGCAGATGGCTGATTTCACAAGGAGTAACTTAGGCTACTTTAATTTAAAAAAAAGAATTAGGGTTCCGCGCAAAAACATAATAACCCTAACACGCGAGCGAAGTCGCGGGGAACAGCTAGTTTAATATACAACATCAGTTTTAAGCCATATTCCAAGTAGCAATCTGTTAGCAGTAAAGTTTTTTTTCTTTGGTAATGGACTCGTATGGTTGCACTTTGGGCAGTAAATAATAAATTATCCATTATAATAATTTGTTTTGAAAACTTCACAATATGTTAAAGCGTACACTGCGGGGCTTTTGGGAGATTTCGACGACAGCTTATGCGAGGAGAAAGTTAACGATGATGCTCGCCAAAATACTCCATAGTTTATTTATTTTTGTATTGACTACACGGCCTTTAGCCAAAAATAGTACATCTTATGCAATACATTATTCAAAATACAAATACGTAAGTTATTTACAAAATGTTGAACCCATATTGCTAAGTATTGGGAGATTTTGATGACAACTTATAGCTATACGGCAATAGCTTCTCAAGGTCTAAAATGGATATAGAGATTTTTTACCACAATGGCAGGGCTCGTCTTGTCATTTCCGTCAATTATTTACATGCGTAGATATTTAATACACTAAATTGTTTCAGTTTCAATGTTCAACAACTCACTTCAAACATTATTTGAATGACAACATAATAGATGCAACAATTCATGTGGTCTAGTTCCCGATAAAACACAGCAAATTCAATTACGCACCATAGATACACTATTACCTCGAATATTAAAACTAGGTTTAGATCACTTATATATAATAGTTGTCACAATGATATAAGTATTAAAATGGCATCACAATTCTAACCCGTCTCAAGTTTAGGAGTATTACAACTTGAACCCTCGCAATTTGTTCAGTCTCCTCTCCAAGTCCTCGATGCTCGGGTCCTCGTTCGGATTCTCCTCATTGGTAGGCCAGGGTTCTGGCTTGTGGCGCTCAACGCCTGGTGCCATTTGGAAACCGCCACCAGATTTGCCAGGACTCTCCGAACTAAATAAAATGGAAACAAAGAGTTTTAATAATAAAATTGAGGTTTATAATTGGGGTATTAGATAAATCTTTGGACCATACCATAAGTTGTATTTTTTTTTACTGTTCTGTAACATAGAAATGAGGGCTATTGACCCTCTGTACCAAATAAAAACACCTCTTCAAATCCTAATTTCAAAAATACCACTCTATCTATTGGTGAACTAATCTACATAATTACTGACTGATGTCACTATTAACAATATTAATTGAAAAAAAATCTATTGACTATGACATTGCTGCTATTTTTTGACATTTATCAGGTACATTAATTTTTGTAAAGAGGTAAGTGCTTTTATTTTTATTTTTTTATGGATTTTACTAGGTTTTATGACATAATTTTATACCATATGAATAAATAATAATCTACCGTTAATGAAATCTTAAAATGATATATAGTTTTTTGCCTAAGATTTACGGATTGATTTAGTTGAATGTCGTTTTTTTTAGTACAATGGGCACACGTGATATAATATTGTTTTTCTCTTTCATGAGGATCTTACATGATAAAATGTGTGTTTCGAGCTTATAAAAATTTTATTGGCCTAGAACAATCTGTCAATTCTATAGCGCAAAAAGAGACCGACTAAGAATATTATGTGGTGATTTTACCGCCAGATCCAGCTATTGTTATTGACGAAGAAAAAGGCGAAGATGACTTGCAGCCATCGGGTTTACCTAGAGAAGTACCAGGAATGTTGGAGGTAATGGGTCGACGTCACAACTCTTTTGAATGGGGAGACAGTAACGATGAACTTTTGTCCAACAAGCAGAGTCGCCAAGATTCACGTGATTTAGTGGCCTAAGTGGAAACAATGTACGCCATGTTATGAAATATTTAGTATAGCTTGACACGAGAACTTTAGTCGCTGTGTTTTTATTCCGTATTTGGGTAAAAATGACAAGTGTGAAAGTGGAGTCTGCTTTCGCCGATTTGTCAAAGAATGTAGAAACGTTGACAACAAAAATCACATCGCAAGTGACGCTAATTGAATCACAGAATAAGAAGATTGAAAATCAGCAGCGCATTATTGAGAAATTGTTTTCCACGATAAGTGACCTGAAGAGGGTAATAGAAGAAATGCCCGCTAGAACAATCGACCTATTGCGAGCTGGGCAGTCAACCAGCGAGACCGACGTGCCGACCAAGGTACTGTCAGTCCCAAGTGCGAGCGAGACACCGATATCCTCAGATACGGTCGCCTTATCAGAGAGAAAAATAACGCAGAGCGCGCGCCGAGCAATGCAGCGGGAAAAAAAGGCTGTTTGTATACTGGAAGTAAAAAATACAGAAAAAGAAGATTCAACTATATTAGAAACGTCTGCGACTGAAGAATGAAAAGTAGTAGGTGGCCATAAAAAGTCTATGAAGACCCATCTTAAGGCAATCCAAACTGGAGGAAACGCCCAAATCGGTTCGTTCCAGGTTATACAGAAGAAGAAGTTTTTACACGTGTGGCCACTCCATCTCGAAACCTCGGAAGATGCGATAAGGGAACACGTGAAAAAAAATTTGTGGTTCTGAGGATATCAAAATCGAAAACATTGTTCCAAAAAACAAGAGAGACTATTAGTCATTCAGGATTGGTGTTCCAGAATCCACGTTTGAAAAAGTGAACTGCAGTAAACTAACCTATGCGGCATTAATAATAGCAGCGCCATCGAATAAATTCGCTGAGAACTACGTCGGCTTCGCAGATCGATGTAGTACTTCGTTTAGTAGATGGCGCGGTAACAAAATTATTTATTTGGTCATTTGTTTTACCAGATTTCTACCACAAAATTGCCAAGTTATTTGAAAACCTCTAAAATGAGAGTATTCACCAATTGATTTTGTATCTATCTATTGATTTTAAAATACTATGTTGCTTTTTTTTAATTTGTTATTTTGGATTTTCTTCCAATTTTGTTAGTTTGGGAATTCTCTGAGTTTTCCAAAAAATCGTTCTATAGATGGCGCTTTACAAACTGGTATAAAGAAAAATATTGATTACGTTTGATCAGTAAATAATCTTGATTAAAGCATCAGCAACAGTTATCTTTTTTTTTAACTTATTATAAGCCAGTGCTTGACCACGATCCCATTTGCTGGTAAGTGGTGATGTAGTCGTAGATGGTAAATCGCACTGTCTTAGCGTAACAAAAGCCTATTTACTCGTGCCTTGAAGACGCCCAGATTGTATTCGGACGGTAAGATAGACGCCGGCAAATTATTCCACTCCTTTGCTGTACGTATTACAAAAGACTAAGCAAATAATAATGCGTGAAATATCGACAACAAAGGGGTGAAGACCCGCCGACCGCCTGGTTGTCCAATGATGGAAAAGAGAGGAAGGAATTAAAGCGTGTAATTCCTGCGCACACTCGTCGAAATGCATCCTATAGAATACCGGCCATCTTCTCCATGTTTATAGAAGAATATTAAATTTATAAAATGGCAGCACTTAAAAATTAAAAAAACAAGCGTGCACGTTTTCATTCGCTTCAAATTTCAACGATTTGTTGATTGTTGTTGTTTTTATTTTTCCTTTAATTTGTTAATTTATTACACTTCTGTTTCTCCATTATTGCGTTGAGTTGAGTGAATTTCGTGTGTGTGTGTGTGTTCAAAGTTCTCAAAGTGCTCAAAGTTCAAAAACTTTATTAAACTAAGTTTGTATAAAAAATTTTACGTTTCGTAAGCACATTGAAGATATCTGTGGTAAGGTATTCCGAAACTTAGGTTTTATCCTAAAGAATTGCAGAGATTTTCCTAGTACGTCGATTATTAAAGTTTTATACAATGCACTTGTTCGCATCCGGCTGGAAACGAGTGCAATTATTTGGAATCCCCATGAAGATAAATATATCAACATGGTGGAAAAAATTCAAAATAAATTCACGCCGTTCCTTTATTTAAAGGAGTACGGCGTCTGTCCTTTCTACCCGATGATGTACCCGAGCTTGTTCGTGATCGGCATGGTTGGGTACAGCCAGCTTGGTGTGAGGCGTGACGTCGCACTCTGCAAGTACGTGTGGCGAGTCTTGCATGGCCAGCTATACCATTCTGAGGTACTGGAGGCGTTGCAGCTGTTTGTGCCTGATAAGGCGGTGGTTAGGCGTCGCCCACATCCCACCTTTAAGGTGCCGCACGCGAGGACAAATCTGCTCAGGTTTGCACCTATGTCACGAGCTTTGAAGTTATTGAATATTATTTCCGAATAAACGGACATTTACCACTGCAGCCTGGAAAAGTTCACAGAAGCGGCGCACAGGGTCTGTAAGATTTTTTCATAATTTTTTTTATATCTATTTTTTTTCTTAATTATAATAGTATTAAGCATATATTTTATGTCAGTAGTTATACATAGGCTGCACTAAAAGTATCGGGAATGGAATATTTCCACTGTCCCTGTCATATTAAAATTATTAAATTGAAAAGTCCTTGGTTTTTTAAAATTGAAAACCATTTATTTATTTAAAAAAAAGGTTCTCGGTCTTGTCACAAGGTTTTGTCAAACTTGTTTAGTCGTTGAGAAAATGGAATTGACTCGAGAAAATACAAGTGATGATTTATTATGACTTTCGAAGTGGTTTAACACAAAAACAGTGTGTTGACCGGATGATTTCTGCATTTGGTGATGAAGCCCCATGCAAAACCACAATTTATCGCTGGTTTGCTGAATTTCAATGTGGACGTGTCAAGCTCAGTGATGATCCCCGTCAAGGTCGTCTAAAAACTGCAGTCACCCAAGAAAACGTTGATGCTGTGCGTAAGCTGATTGAGGAAGATCGACATGTGACATACCGCGAAATTCAGGCAACTTTAGACATTGGCATGAGTCAAATACAAATAATCTTGCATGAACAATTAGGTGTAAAAAAGTTGTTTTCCCGATGGATACCGCATTCGCTCTGTGAAGAGCAAAAAGCGGCACGCGTTACTTGGTGCGTCAGAACTCTCGAAAGATTCCACGCAGGATCCTCAAATGCTGTATACAACATTTTATCAGGTGACGAATCCTGGATATACGCATACGAACCCGAAACAAAAAAACAGGCACGAGTTTGGGTGTTCGAAAATGAGTTAAAGCCAACAAAAATTGTTCGTTCACGGAGTGTTGCAAAAAAAATGGTGGCCACGTTTGTCTCCAAAACCGGCCATGTTACGACTATTCCTCTTGAGGGACAAAGAACGGTTAATGCAGAATGGTATGCTAGCATTTGTTTGCCACAGGTCGTTTCTGAACTCCGTAAAGAGAACTGCAACCGCCGCATCATCCTCCATCACGACAATGCAAGTTCTCACACCGCACACAGAACAAAAGAGTTTTTAGAGCAAGAAAACATAGAATTATTAGACCATCCGCCGTACAGCCCCGACCTAAGCCCTAATGATTTCTATACTTTCTCTAAAATAAAGAATAAATTGCGTGGACAGAGATTTTCATCACCTCAAGAAGCTGTGGACGCCTACAAAACGGCCATTTTGGAGACCCCAACTTCAGAATGGAATGGTTGCTTCAATGATTAGTTCCATCGTATGGAAAAATGTGTCAAATTTCGCGGAGAATACTTCGAAAAGCAATAAATACATTTTTAAATAGTAATGTTGCGTCACTTCCTTGATTCCCGAAATTTTCAGTGCCGCCCTCGTATTTATCACTTATTATTCGGTTTTTGTACAAAATCGTCTTGGTTTTGTACTGTTATGATGCTGTTACTATTTTTGTAATATTTAAATAAATAAATAAATGTTACTCAACTTCATCTCAATCACCTGACAATACATGTTGGTCACGAAAAAGCCAGGTAATAAACCAATTACAAGGATTTTCACCTGTTGCGATTTTCGAAAAAATATTTAATGACGAGATTTACGCTTTGATTATACGTAATACGTTATTATATGCAGGACAGAAATATAAACATGGGTTCGAAATTGATAAAGATGATATGCGCCGATTTTTACGAGTGCTTATCCTATCTGGATATCATAAACTACTTAGAGAACGACAGTATTGGAGCTATGAAGAAGACCTTGTAATACCACTTGTGACAAATTCTATCTCGCGAAATCGGTTTCTGGATGTAAAAAGAAATCTCCATTTGGTAGATAATGGTATAGCTACTGCCTCTCAAGACAAAATGTTCAAAGTGAGGCCATTGTGATATGTTGCTGCAAAAATTCTTTCAATTTGGCGTTTTTCATGAAGACATATTGATCGACGAGTCTATGATAAAATATTATGGCCACCACTCATCAAAACAATTCATAAGAGGTAAGGGCATTAGATTTGGTTATAAACATTGGGTAATTGCCAGTTCTGATGGGTACTGCTACGCTTTCGATTTGTATTGTGGTACACCTGAAAGTGCAAAAGCACCACTTGATACCAGAGTTGTGAAGTCGCTACCGAATAAAACGCCGACAATACCAGAGGAGCACACAGTGACTTTCGACAAGTTTTTTACTAGTTGTGATTTGTTGAGAGACTTGAAGGAGTATGGATATAAAGTTACTGGGACAATATGTGATAATCGGATAAAAAAAATGCCCATTATGCGCCGTAAATATAATGAAAAAGTCTACAAGAGCAGAATTTGATTAGAAGTTTGATACAAATAATGAACTGTTGCTTTTTAGATGGAATGGACAATAGTGTCTGTACTATAGGTACAAAATTTGATAAGTAAACCTATTAGCAAAGTAAAACGCTGGAATTCACAGAGTAGACAAAAGGTAGCTGTTAGTATTCTACGTTTATTTCTAAACTAAATAGAGGGATGGGCGGCGTTAACGAGATGAATGGATCTATTTCATTGTATCGCGTGAGTATTCGTGGAAAAAACTGGTGGTGGGCGATTTTCACATACTTGCTTGATATGAGTATATCTAACGCTTGGCGTCTGCATACTTTGGCCGGTAGTGAGTGCTCGGACCAGTTGGCTTTTAGGAGACATAGGAGGATATAGTACGAAATTATCTTCAACTTCGTAACTGCAACAAAAGTCACCGTTTTGGTTCAACCATAGGTGGTCAATGCCCAAGTAACAATGGACATAATCCAGGAAAACTACCTAAACAATTAAATGTGTTATAAGCCATACTCGCATAAAGTGGCAATGTATACGGTGCCAGAAAACTTTGTGCATTGATAAAGAATATTTCAAAAATTATCACATCATGAGTGCCCAATGTACTTTAAATAGTACACATAGAAAAACCACCTATTTTTATTTTTTTTAATTCTAACTACTAGCCATGTGTAATATAGACCTAAGTATCCCATAAATAAAGAAACATATAAATAAATACGGCTCTGTGGCGTAGTGGCTTAGCAATAAGTTGCAGCACCAAGGGCCGCGGGTTCGAATCCCGCACGGAACAAGTATTTGTATGGCCTACAAATAATTGTTCCGGGTCTGGATGTTTATCCTTGTGAAATTTATGTATGTAAACTGCCTCCACGACACAGGAGAAAATCCTAGAGTGGAGGTAACGTTTAAAAAAAAAACAATTTGTAATACAAATGAGTTTTATTTGGGCGTAAATGGGTTAATTTACCGTTCAACAGATGTCGCTAGTTGGGACTGGGTAAAGTTATTTGATACACAATGTTGTGTTTTAAGTAAACGTTTATCGGTTTCTAGAGTGTGTAAATACACAAAGCCATGTGTTGGTGGTCCATGTATGATTTGGTCTTTAATTTTTTGTTCATCTTTATCTTTTTTTAATTTTTCTAATTTTAGGAATCATCATCATCATCATTACAGCCCTTCACAAGTCCACTGCTGAACATAGGCCTCCCCCAAGGAATGCCACAAGGCACGGTCCTGAGCCACCTGCATCCATCGACTTCCTGCACATCTCACCAGGTCGTCACTCCATCTAGTGGGGGGACGCCCAAAACTTCGCCTGCCGGTATGAGGCTGCCACTCGAGAACCTTTTTTCCCCATCGGTTGTCGGTTCTTCGAGCTATATGGCCGGCCTATTGCCACTTCAGCTTACTAATCCGTTGGGCTATATCGGTCACTCTGGTTCTATTGCGGATATCCTCATTTCTGAGTTTATCACGCAGAGAAACTCCGAACATAGCCCTTTCCATAGCTCGCTGTGCGACCTTGAGCTTCCTCATCCAGCCAGCATTGAAGGACCACGTCTCAGTTCCGTATGTCATCACTGGCAACACGCACTGGTTGTACAGTCTCGTTTTCAAGTTTTGAGGTATACCTGACGAGAAGATGTGCCGTAATTTCCCGAACGCTGCATAACCGAGTTGAATCCATCGATTGACCTCTCGGTCGAAGTTGGACTTACCTAGTCGGACTATTTGTCCCAGGTAAACATACTCGTCAACAACTTCAAGCTTAGTGCTCCCAACAACTACCGGCATGGGTGTGACATGGACATTAAACATGATCTTTGTTTTGTCCATGTTCATCTTAAGACCTATCCGTTGTGAAGCACTATTGAGGTCATTGAGCATAGTGCTTAGGTACTCCAGCGATTCTGCCATAAGGAGTATACCGTCGGCAAATCGAAGGTGAGTGATGTACTCGCCATTGATGTTGATACCGTATCCTTTCCAGTCCAGAAGATTGAAAACGTCTTCCAATGCAGCGGTGAAGAGTTTCGGGGATATGACGTCACCCTGTCTTACACTGTTTGCACTGGTTCTGTACTCGGATAGCCATCATAGCCCTACTGGACAAGCACTTCAGCACTTGGATATACCGACAGTCAACTTGGCATCGCTGAAGGGAATGCAGCACCGCCCAAATTTCGACGGAATCAAAGGCTTTCTCATAGTCCACATACGCCAGACATAGTGGCAAATTGTACTCCTCTGACTTCTGTACAATTTGCCGAAGGGTATGTATGTGGTCTATGGTGCTAAAGCCTTTTCGGAAACCGGCTTGTTCGTGAGGCTGGAAGTCGTCAAGTCTGCGCGCGAGACGATTCGAAATGACTCTCGAAAACAGCACGTAGACGCGGCTCAGAAGGGAAATCGGTCTGTAGTTCTTCAAGAGAGCGTTGTCGCCTTTCTTGAAGAACAAGACCACCGCACTTCTGCTCCACGCCTCCGGTGTAATGCCACCATGGAGGACGGAATGAAAGAGCTTCTGAAGGACTTCAAGTACCGGTTTTCCACCCGCTTTCAGAAGCTCCGCTGTAATTCCATCCTCGCCTGGGGCCTTGCCGTTTTTAAGGTGCTGGAGAGCCCTTCTAATCTCGTTCAGACTGACGTCCAGGATATCATCGGAATAATGTCGGATAAGACTCGCTCTTGGATCTTTACTCACACTTGCGTGTGGCTCTAACGATGACGTGTACAGATGCCCATAGAACCTCTCAATCTCACTCAAAATCTCAGGTGCCCCGGAAACGATGCTGCCACACTCTGTCTTCAGCTTTGACAGTTGGCTCTTTCTGGCAGACAGATCTCTGGCAAAGACTTTGGAGCCTTGGTTCCGCTCGATCGCTTCTTCAATACGAGCTGTATTGAAGTTGCGTAAGTCCCGCCGCATGCATTTGGAGATCTGTCTGTTCAGATGCCTGTATGCTGTCAAGTCTGTTGAAGAATGTAGCTTCATCTCCCGTCTAACAGCCATGAGATTAAGAGTGTGATCGGAGAGTTTTTGTGTTCTTCTGCGGCGGGTCTTGCAGAACTTAGCTCCGACCGCATGGACAGTTTCCACGAGCTTGTCATTCATATCGTCCACTTCATTGCAGTCTTCTAGGCACTGAAAACGGTTTTGTAACTCGAGCTAAAAGGTTTCAGGACTTCGGATTAGAGCACGAATTTTAGGAATGTTCGTTTCTAATCTAATTAATATAAAATTTAACTAATATTTCAAAAAGAAACATTAACCACTACATTGCCGATGTTACACCAAAATATATTTAATACAATGTAGATATTATATACTAGCGATCCACCCCGGCTTCGCACGGGTGATTTCTGGTTCTCGACAACAGCGCACTCTACCGGGTCCAATTGTGAATCTTAACCATTGCAAGAGAGGCTTGCCTCTCTATATATTGCTCATGGTGGGGATATTTACCATAGTTACCACGCTCGGCAGAAATTGGCTTTTAAATAATTTAATAATTTTTAGTATCGTTATGGTTTGAAACTAGATGAAAAGAAAAAACAATACAGTGCAAGAAACATATACAGTGAAACCTGGTTGAATGGGCCCTGGATATGTGAGAAACCTCTGTTTTTCATAACTACAATGAGGTCCCGACACTTTTGCATTAAAATACCTCTGTTACTGGGAATTTTCAAACCTTATTAACTGAGATTAGATTTCATAGATTTTTTCGATATTTACCTCCATAATAGGGACTTCGCAGCTCTATAACCCGTATAAGTGAGAGAATTTATCAGGTTTAGACAAGTTATGGCAACGCTTGTCAACCTACTTCAAAAATGAGAAGATTCTCAATAAGTCGGAATCTTTTTTTTAATGTATGTTCACCGATTACTCGAAGACACCTGAACCGATTTGGAAAATTCTTGTTTTTAATTGAAAGCTGGTGCTTCTCATGTGGTCTCATATAAATTTGATCAAGGTCTGAGTTTCTTAATAGTTTATATTGAAGTCGGTTGTATAAACATTTTAATTTTACCACTTGTTTACAATTTACCAATTTCTGTTTTACTTGTTTTATTTATCAGTACTATCGTAAAAGTTTTGGATGACTAGAAGGCTGTGGCAGTACTCTATAGTCCGACATATTTGATAATCCCACACCGCCTTGCAAAACATTTGTCGGATTACCACGGGTCAACTGTAGTTGATAGGAATACACCGCTGTCCATCTCCTGCTTTGTTTCCCTCCGTCGCCTCTTATGATACGAGTACCCACGGAACGGTACACGGTGATATTTTATAAAACATGCAAACTATTAAATGATGGTCGAATTTAGCCACTCACCTGTTGTATTCTGTACTAGCAGCGAGTGCGGAGTTCTGTCCGTCCCTGTTGTTATAGAGCCAGACACCAGGCGCCGCCATCTTGTGGTCGCGCACTTGGAACTCCGCGCTGTAGTGGCGCGGCGGCGTTTTGAAGTCCACTTGAAGCGGTTGACCTGGAAAATATACAGTTATTTTACAATAACCGGCCAAATCTGCAAAGATGGTTTAGAATAAGTAATATAGGCAAATGGTGAAGAAAATTAATAAAAAAAATTATCTCAAACTTTTCGTCCTTTTTATTTTTTAAATACAAAATGCGTGGTAATGCATTATTTTAACTGATTTTATTGCGCACGCACACATTGATAAGAGTCGATTGGTAGGCAAAAACGTTGTTGCTCATAAATCACATTCAGTTTGGGATAATTTCAAATAAAAGTAGAAGCCTTATTTACTCATATTTTCAAAAACTGCAATAACGGTATATCATAATTTATATATTTGAACTTAAGTTTAAAATTTAGCTACTCTTTGCAAAGTAATCCCGTATAAATGAAATGTTTAAAAATGGGCCAGGTCTATGTACACTACTTCAAAAAAAAAAAGAGAAAAATCTGTAGAATTCGGATAAAATACAGATAATTCATTTAAATGTATCCATATATTTTTATCAACTTTCAATATGTCGAATCACCGATATTGTTACTTTACTCTGTACTCTGTGCCTTATGACAATGACAGTAAACCATAAAATGATCTTTGATCATAGAAAGAGAACTGTTAGTTGTAACAACAGTGTCACTTTTCAGTGACTGAAGTGTCACTTTAGTCTCGTCCTACAGAAATAAACATGTCAAATGGGCATTCATAGTGCAGACCATGGACTATGGATGCCCATGGGGTTTCATAAAATAAAAGGTCTTTAGTGGATGTTCCGTTATCTTAAAAGTTTACGAACCCCTGATACAGAGCAACTATACTTACAGAAATGCAATTAACCAAACGCCCCTCCCCCGCCAAATGTGGACGCAGGTGGCTCAGTACCGTATTTTGTGTCTATTAGGAGAGGCCACTGTACATCAGTGGACTTGTGAAGGGCTGTCCTGCCCCATCTGATGCGTGAGGCCTACATCCAGCAGTGACCTTTTATGTTTTTACCTATATTATTTCCAACTGGACAACCAGGGTCCAGTGGCTATATCAGAGTCGACTAATGCCTCGCGAGTTGGAAACCCATGGAACCACAATATGTGCAAAAGCATAAATTGTTGTTCTTTCAGCTTTTCAATGTTGTGATCGTCCAAATCTGACACTGTATTTAAACATAGTCAAAAAACTTTCTAATTGCTTTCACTTAAAGTTGAAATTCTAAACAACAAAATTTTTCTTCATCCTATATGCTATCTATCCCTATATGCTATGTAGGAAAACTACGTGAGGAAATCTAGAGGTGTGTAAATTCGAAATATTTCGAGGGCATTTAAAGTCTGCTAAAAAGTACAGGAACAGCCCCATAACCATCTCAGAGATGAGAGGAGGCATTTGCCCAGGAGTGGGATATATTTGGGCTGTCAACCACGAGTTTGTCTGTCATACCTGGATGTAACCTTTCATCCATCCTTAACTCTCCGAATCCCTCGCTGAGCTTTTTTAAGTTGACGTCCACGTCCATTTCCTTCCAGGCTTCTTCAGGCCGCAGGCAATTCCCAGACGGTGGGTACCAGGGTTTCGAAGGTTTCTCGGACTTCGAGGTTTTAGTAGGTTTCTCTGATCACAAAGGATTTTTTTTTATTTAAGTTTATTATTTTAACAACAGATGGCTCAGGGGTCGCCAAATCAGCTAATCGAAGGTACGTCTTCTGGTGGATGATGGGGCTGAGCGGCGTTAGGATGATTATATCACATATTCTTCTCATATATTCATCATAAATTAAAAACAAGCAAACAAGTCAGTGTTGCCAGTGATGACATATGGATCTTCGCCATGGTCCTACTTTGATGGCTGGATGAGAAAGCTTAGGGTCGCTTAGTGAGCTATGGAGAAGGGCTATTATTAGGGACTACGTAACAAAGATATCTGTAGCAGAATCGCAGTAACCGACGTAACCCAATGGATCGGTTAACTGAAGTGGCTATTAATAACAATATTGATCAAAGAAGCGGCATTTAATGGAAAAGAAATGTTCTAAAGTAGTTGTTCTCACAAGTAGAGTGTAAGACTCCCACTATATAGTGGGAGTCTTATACTACGTATCTGTGACTACTGGGTAAGACATGCAATGGATATATTCAAGCACTTGTGAATGAATGTAATAATTATTAGGATAGCTAGAAATAAATAAATTATTATGATTAATTATAATTGTAGCTCAGGGGTCTACTGTGTAAATTGTCATCGTTATAAAAAAAATACCTTGTCATCTTCCACCTAAAACCAGCTTACAGCAGGACATGATATGTGATAGCATGCAGATGCGTTGTCATCCCTGAGAACCAAGACAGATTGCCATATTTCCACTCACTATACTATACACAGTAGCATAAATCGGCTATTTCACACTGGTATTCTGTGAAGGCACAGTCTCTCTATGGTCGAGACAATCTATAGTTCTACAACCGTAATATTGCTGCAGCATGACTTGGTCGAGAAGAAATATGTCGTGAGAAAATCTGCACGTCTGCAATATTGAAAAACCTTTTTAAGTTTCGTGAAATCCAACTACCCACATTGGGCCAGCGCGTCGGACTCTTCCTTGCTCTTTAACGCTTTAAGAAATGAAAGGAGGCCTGTGCCCGGCAGTGGAACAAAATAAACTAAAATGTATTTCTAAGATTAATTATTTGCACATTCTAAAAAGCTACGTGGTAGAGCCATGATGTAGCTATATTAGTAGTATAGTTGTAGCACAAATGGGTCGGCTCGACCGGGGTAAGACCACGCTCTCACAGAATACCAGCGTAAAATAGCAGCTTAACACTGCTGTGTTTCGTATGGTGAGTGTAGAGAACTGGACACCCTTTTTACTGGAAAAGAGGCATTCAATCTTAGTCCTCACAGTTGACAACGCATCTGCATTTTGATTCTTTATTGAGTATAGATGCAGATGTTTATGGGTCACAGCAACCACTTACCATCAGGTGGACTGTGAGTCACCCTATTCTATAAAAAAGCTACATTTGAAGCAATGCTAAGTGAAATGTTGGTTTGATAGTTGTTATAGTGCGCGCGTAGTACTCAAATGATTATGTAAAGATACATTTTTATATCAAATTTTAAAAACAAAACAAATCCCTGTTGCAGACTATTTGAATTAGTTTGATATTAATCAATTTTTTGTTTACGGTCAAAGAACTCACAGTAAACCGTGCGGTAGCGGTGTAAGAATATCTACTACTCCATATCCTCCTGTAGGCTTTATAAGAAGCGACAGAGGGAAACTAATCCGAGATGGGCAGCAGCATCTTCCGAATAACACCAATAAAAAACACAACTGTTGTCTGCCATGCTTGGTAACTATGTCAAATATGTATAGTCATATATGTCAAATAGGGGGACTATTACGCAAACTTTGGGGGAGGGCTATATTCAACAGTGGACTTATTTTAGGCTGTGATGCTAACAGTAGTAGCTGATTTTTAAAACCAAGTAATATCGTACTCTATACGTCGTTCAGAATAATTCAAAGTATTGTTGACAAAAAAGAATAAAACTAAAAGAAAAAAAAAGGAATATTTTTGGTACAGCCACAGAATGCTATATCCAAATCATCTTATTATTTGTGTACGCAATAAAATAACTCACCGTTTCCCTCAGCACAAAGTTCGGCAACAGGCTCGGGTCTCGAGGAGCGGCTAGCCTTTTTTGATGTAGTATCTTCTAAACTGAGTTCATTCAGTTCAGCCAACATCCGTTCTTCTCCATCAAAGATGAAGTCTCTTTCTAACGCCTTCCCCCTAGCTGACTGGTTTGCTGAAAAAAGAAAGAAAAAAGATGAATATAAAATAAATCAAATTTTTTATAGCTTGTACTAACAGTGAATTCACCTCGTATTATTAAAAATATTATAAAAAATCTTTTATGTTTAGTCTTCTGGAAGTCGATAAGTTTTTATTTTTAAAATATGAGTACGATATTCCTGTATGGTGACATTTTACATACATAAATTGCATATGGACAAACATCCAGTCCCGGAGAAATTATATGATGTCAATAAATACACTTGTACGTTGCGAGATTTAAACACGCATCGATGAAAAAGAGAAAGTGATTTGGAAACCCAAAAGTGCACGCCTCATAAACGTTTCATATAATTTTGATGACAAAAATAAAAATAGCGACGATAATTTTTACAACAAAAAAAAAACTCCAGTTTCAGTCTCCAGTTCTCTACATTCACCATACGAAACACAGCAGCACTGGTATTCTGTGAGAGGTTGGTCCTTCCCCAATCGAGCCGACCCATTCGTGCTACAACTATATTACTAATAATAGCTGCAGCATGGCTCTACCACGTAAAATAATTTACTTATTTCCCATAACTTCAAAAGAAGACTTACCCTTTCTCTCTCCCAGCCTTTCTCTCCTCTCTTCTTTCCCAGGAGTGCCTCCTCCTGGAGCAGATGGAGTTTCCAGGAGTTCTTTCAACTCTTGCTCCAGCTCAGCTGTGTCAACGTCATCAATAGTAGCACCAAGTGCTTTTTCCACTTCATTATAGCTGTCTAAGACCTGCGGCAGAATTGTAATAATAAATGCCATCAAAAACATAACTTGTAAAAAAGCCAAGTCTCGCAACTCAGTTCTTCTACCGTAAAAAGTTGTGAGATCCATGTAATACTAAGTCGGTTAATTTATTCAGTCCCTACTTAAGGGTCCTTCTGTCTATTATTACGTAATTAGCTGACCTGAAAACATCTTATAGTGACCATATCAATATTAAAAATCTTTTATATTTTAAATAAATAGATTGACTTGGCCATCGCATGAAAACATAATGTATCTTTCCAGTAATACATATTATATTAAATTAGATTGTTCAGTGCGATTGCGAAGTCAATTTATTTGTTTAAAACATAAAAGATTTTTAATATTGATATGATCACTATACGATGTTGTTAAGACCGAGTTTATAAAAATTCAGGCAAGTTTTATCCACAACGAAATTATAGAGTTTCGAAAATGGCCTGAAATGCTTCAAGCAAAGTATAGTACGACCATGCTGCTTTTTTGCTCGACTTGACGGGGGCACTGCGGTGCCCCGAGATACACTATTTTGTTCTTATGTGTTTAAATAATCTACAGCTGGCTAAACCACTTACGGTGGAGAGCTTTAGCCACAATCGCTATATATATATTGCGATTATATATTATAAAAGTTATGTAATAGTTATAGTGATACATCTAATATATAAAAATAAATTTTTGTATGTTCGTATTTTATGAGTTGCCATACTGTTCATCAGATTGCAGTAAAACTTTGTAAACTTATTGCTTGCACTTTCGCGAAGGTTATAGGCATAGTACAATTAACTTACAGTAGGTAAAGCGTGTATCGTACCGCAAAATATATTTGAAAGTAATATATCATTCAATGGACGTATTATCCTTCATAACCACTTAACCTTCCATAGTTTTACATAATCTTTATGGCCTCGCTGCAGTAGGGTAAATATGCCTTATACTTTTTTTGTAATAAGCATTTTAGTGTAATCTTATTGGCACTGTTCATAACCACTCAACCGTCCACGGTGACTACAGTCCCCAAAAGATTTTATCTGTATAATAGTAACAAAATATTGAGGAAAAACATTTTTGTTTGTGGAATGTTAACGTGTGAGAAATTCGATCAAAAATGTGATAACTTTTCTCTTTTTATATGTTACTAGCTGTGCCCCGCGGTTTCACCCGCGTATATCACAGCTCTGCGCCTTGCGATATGCGAACTTCGAGAGAGACACCACGACGGACGGTTGCTGAATTAACAAAGATTCTAAAAGTGAAATATGTTACTAAAATTACATGGTTAACGTAGTTGGTGGTTATGCATCGTACAGGTACTGATAAGAATAATGTGGCCTAGTTTGAACAGGCGTTACGATTTCATATTTTAACATGAAAAAGTAGTTATTGTGACATAACTGTAATACTTAGACATATGGTATCGCAGACTTTTTTGTAGATATTGATATCCTCTATAAAACTGAAGCACACTTTGCTCTATTATCAATAGTTTCCGCAGCGTACGCGATATAAGCATTCTTTTTGGTATTTTTTTCACACCTTGGGTTACATTAACGAAGTTTTCATATGGATCCCTAACTATGTTCATCAGGGATAATGTAGAATTCTAATGGTGAAAGAATTTTTCTAATCGGTCCAGTAGTTTCGGAGCCTATTCAATTCAAACAAACAAATCTTTCCTCTTTATAATATGATTAGTGTAGATGTAGATTTCTAATGTTATTGTACAACAAACTAATAGTGAAGATATTTTCTTTACTAAATATGTATCATTACGACAATTCCAAAACGTTTACATATAATAATTTAGCTCTAAATTTTAATCACTATACGCGATCATCGTTTATTGATTATATGTTGTTTAAAATGTATTCTAATAAGTTTTTTGTGTTAAATGAATGCAAAATATAAAATAATGATTCACTATTAACACGTTGATAGCAATTTATAAACGAAATATCTGTTGAGATGTGTCTAGAAATTATTAAAACCTATTTTTTCATATTTACTTATTTATTAAAATTTATATTGGGTAAACATTAAATACTTATATATATTGAGTATATAAGATATTATTGATATTGGTGTCATTTAAAAGGGAATATCATGTACTATTTTAATATAAAATAATTGTCTTCAGTAAGTATTACACTTTACCTTTAAAACTCGAAATAAAAAATAAATACGATTTTTTTTATATTATCATTTTTAAGCTTTATTTTTAATTTGACTAATTTTCTTTTAACAAAATAAAATTTTGAATTCTTTGATTATTTTGAGAATATTTTTAATTGAATGTAGCTGTAGTAGTTTTTCAGTAGTAATCGTTTTAGTTGAGGCAGTGACGTCGTGACATAGTGACATTTAATGCGCAGACAGGTGAGGCGTGAATCACTCGCTCGGGGTGGACGGTTAAGTAGTTAATTAAACTATATAACTGTTCCACATTTAAAACCACATTTTACAATTATTTCTTCTGCGGCAGCAATGCGCCGGGTACCAGCTAGTAGTAAATAATTAATATACTGTAGGAGATAGGGCAGTATAAAAATAATTATAGTCTAAAAATGAAAGAGGAATGTTATTATAATAACAGTAGCAATTTTTAGCTTGATAAATGTATTATACAGCACTCAGTAGCCACGCTTACCACCCTTTGGTTGATAGTGAGCACGAATTTCTAAATCACACGATAAAAGTTAAAAAAGGAAAGTTAGAACCTATATAGGCCCCACAGCTGGGCACCGACTTCCTCTCATCTCTGATAGAGTTGTGTCACCCGCGCTACTCCAATGCGTTGGCAGACTTTACGTCTCTTCAAAATATTCCTATTCCTCAGACATGCAGGTTTCCTCAAGATCTTTCCTTCATTACTGAGCATGTGGTAAATCAGGACTTAATTTTTTTTATAGGGTAGGGTGACAAACGAGCACACAGTCCACCTGATGGTATGTGGTTTCTGTGGCCTATAAACATACAGTTGTCCGGTAATGAATGGATAACCTTGAAATGTCTTATAGTACAACTTATGGCCATTCTGAAAAAAATACGAAACATAATATATCACAAGTAGTACCTTTGATATTTTTTTTTAAGTCACTTTATCTTCTTTTACTCTTATTTCACTTATTTTACTGCCTTGAACACTATGACCAAAAACGAATGATTTCTATTGGTTTTTTGTTGTTTTATTATTATACACTAACTGTGCTGATAGATAAAAAATTTGCAATATGGGAACATTTTTTTAAATTGAATTGTCTCTGATCATTGTGGGATTAATAAAAACACATCAGGAGTTGATCATACATGAAAACAGCTATTTTTAAACAAATTGAAACCTAATTAAGTATTAGAAATTAACTTATTTAAATGTAATAAAATAACCAATTTAAATGTTAAAATGGCTACTTTACTAGCGTGAAATGGGTCGTGTGACCTTCATATTTACTACCTGCTGCCTTTTGTGTTATATTAGACAATGAGGGGTCTGAATTGGGTAAGTGGGAGTGAGAAGAGCTAAATGTAAAAGAGAACTTAGTGCGTCATTCGACTTGCTCGACTTCGCATGTATTTATTTTGTCTCCGTTCGCAATTATTTAAATCAGTGTTAAAACGACCACTTGGCTATTTTACCGGACTATTCGTTTTGCTTACTGATTTGGACTTGTTTTGCGTTTGGTGACATTTGCGACAATTTGGCTTGTTTCTGGACTAAACTGGACTTTTGTGTACCTATCAAAATGCCACGTCATCACGTCACGCCCATTTGAATTACCGGGGAATTTAACGGGGCAAAGTTATTTGGAGTTTCTTCAAAATGATGTCCCCAATTTATTACAAGAGGTTTCCGAGGAGCTGAGGGAATCGTATTGGCTGCAAAATGACGGTTGTCCTGCGCAATATGCTGTTCCGGTTCGTGCATATTTAAATAGCAGAAACCCAAATAGATGGATCGGACGTCTAGGGCCAATTTCGTGGCCTCCACGTTCACCGGATCTAAATCCATTGGATTTTTTTACTGGGGCTGTCTGAAAGAGGAAGTATACTGTAAGCCTGTGCGGTCTTTGGATGAACTACGCAGTCGTGTCATAGCAGCCGCATCAAAAATATGCGAGCGATGGTACACAAGACTGCTTAGAAGATCATTTATCCGAAGATGTAGGGCATGCATAAGAGTGGGAGGCAAACAATTTGAAAATTTTTTTGTAAATTAATGAAAAATAAAATATTTTAATTTTAAATGTTATTTTTTATTAATCCCCAATGATCAGAGACAATACAATTTAAAAAAATGTTCCCATATTACAAATTTTGTTACTTAGTCAAATTTTCTCCTTTTCTACATTAATGGCAATAAGTCACTATTTATGGAAGATACATTTATGAATTATACCACTATAAAATTTACACGAAACCGACATTATTGTAAAATTATTGGTCACCCATACATTCATACATTTTTTTCATACCCAAGAGGTTTGACCTTCGCTTAAATAATATTTTTTGCATGATTTTCAAAAATAAATTGATTTGCGAATTTTTAAATAAAAACTGCAAAAGTTATTTATACTATTTACTTTTTATCTATCAGCACAGTTATTGTATAATAATAAAACAACAAAAAACCAATAGAAATCATTCGTTTTTGGTCATAGTGTTCAAGGCAGTAAAATAAGTGAAATAAGAGTAAAAGAAGATAAAGAGACTAAAAAAAATATATCAAAGGTACTACTTGTGATATATTATGTTTCGTATTTTTTTCAGAACGGCCATAAGTTGTACTATAAGACATTTCAAGGTTATCCATTCATTACCGGACAACTGTATGTTTATAGGCAACAGAAACCACATACCATCAGGTGGACATTTCAAGGTTATCCATTCATTACCGGACACTCGATATACATCTATCCTCGTTTGCAAATCAAAATGCAAATGCGTTGTCACCCGTGAGGACTAAGATGGAATGCATCTTTTCTTGTGAAACTTAATCTATAAAAATAAACTTTATAATATGTAGAAATTAGCAGTAAGCAATACATATAAAAAATATGTGTTTTGGGTTATCTTCTTCATTCTGCTATTAGTCTGGATGAAACTGTAAATAATTACCAACTCTAAATAATCGATATCGATTTTTTTAAGAATCGAATTTTGTAGGTATTAATATGTCAAAAGGCATTTCTTAGGGTGCGTACAGATTAAGTAACATGTTGTTGAAGTTTTGTTTTATAACACGTCCGCATTATGTAACATTATTTTTCAATATTGCAACATATAACAATACTATACACATTAGAATAACAATGCAATATAACAATGTTATATGACATTGTCGTATGACATTATCGTTTGTCGTTCTGCCGTTCGAGTTAGACATTCAGACTACACATTACTGATACATGTTATATAACAACATTTTTTAACATGTTATGTTATATAATGTGTACGCACCGTTAGATTTGGTTGAGTATACATGGTACAACTTTCGTGCGTAATAAGTGCGCATTTCTTTGTATATCTATGAGAATTGCAGAAATATAGCACTTTACAACAAAAAAACGTACTTCTTTCAGTTCCTCCATTGTATCAAGTACTGAGTCCTCTTCAAGTCCACCATCCTTCATCGTATGTTTCATTGCTTGAGAGCTGGTTCTGGAAATAAAGAACAACATTAAAATATGGCAAGTGGTGTATACGGTGACCCCCACATGCAATAAAAAGTCGATGAGGGTGAATTATCTTTATGTATAACTCACACTCATCGACTTTTTATTGCTTACCTGCTTACACCTGGCAACCTTTTAATATTACCGGGATAAAGTACCCTTTGGCATTTTGGTTACATTGTTTACTCTTATTTGGTGCTAAAGTTTTCATGAAACTGCATAAAAATTGACAAATCTTTTCTTTTGTTTATTTACTAGCTGTTCCCCGCGACTTCGCCCGCGCGTAATTCATACGATTGAATTTTATGAAGTTTTTTTTACGCGGAACCCTAATTCTTTTTCTAAAATAAAAGTAGCCTAAGTTACTCCTTATAACATCAGCTATCTACCAGTGGAAGCCCGTCGGAATCGGTCCAGCGGTTTCGTAGATTAGCTGGAACAAACAGACAGACTGACAAAAATAAAAAATAAATGTTTTTTTTGTTATATGTACCGTATATACTTTCATATGCCTTTAGTAAAAGATGTTATTTCGAAATTACAAATAGACACTTCAATTTTATTTATTTGTATAGATTATTTTAATATATAAAAATTAACGTTTGTTTTTTCGAATTTTATGCGTTGCCATACCGTTCATTAGATTGCGGTAAAACTGTCAACTTATCGCTTGCACTTTCGCGAAGGTTATAGGCATAGTACAATTAACTTACAGCAGGTGGCGCGCGTATCGTACCGACATGGGGATTTTAGACTGTTCGGCGAAAACATTTCTTCTGATAGTACTTTTTTATTTATCTTATATATACATAGCAGGGGCAAACGAGCAATCACCCGACGGTAAGTACCTACCGCCGCCCATGAACAACTGCAACACCAGGGGAATTGCAGGTGCTTTGCCTTTGCCGGCCTTTTAAAAAAGAGTAGACTCTTTTATTGAAGGTTCCTAAGTAGTATCGATATAAGTCTTATATTATATTGGTATAAGCATATAATTATATAATTCGTACACTCCTAGTGTTTACTAGTTTCAGAAGTGAATGATGATAATAAAATTAATTAATAGAATCAGGCGTTACTTTGCGGAAATCCATTATATAAAAGCTTTTAGAAAAATTTACTTCGCAAATACCCGCGTTATAAAATAAAATGATGTGTCTTACCTAATACGAAGAGCACCTCCCGCCCTCCCTCAATTGCGTGCACTATCCCCGTCACCACCAATCCCAGCACCGCTACTCCCAACACCACTACACTATGCAAGACACACCACTGACGACAACTGTTGTCGTTGCGGATATTTGCGAAGTAAATTTATCTAAAAGCTCTTAGATAATAAAATTGGTTTGTCTGTATGTTTGTTTACCTGTATGTGTCGACAATGGCAGCATTGGAGTCCACCTCCCTTAACTGATGTAGCAAATGACGTACATTCTCTAGAGCCGCGTCGCAACGTTGCGCCCGCACAACGATTTTATGTTTCCGACGCAGATGGTTTTTAGCCTGGAATTTAAATTAAAAATATATACATATATACTTGATATGATTTGGTCCGCCCACACTATAAATTTATTTATTACTAGCTGTTCCCCGCGACTTCACCCGCGTGTAATTTATTGTTTTGATTATGTTGCGCGGATCCCTAATTCTTTTTCTAAAATATAAGTCTAAGTTACTCCTTATAACTTTAGCTATCTGCCAGTGAAAGTCCCGTCGAAAACGGTCCAGCCGTTTTGGAGATTAACCGGAACAAACAGACAGACAGATATACTTTCATATGCATTTAGTAAAAAGCTGTTATTTTGAAATTACAAACAGGCACTTCAATTTTATTTATTTGTATAGATAAGTTAAATGGAACGAATTTTGTTCTGGTAGAGCCATGGTGCAACTATATTATGGATGTAACATGAATGGGTTGACTCGATCATGCCCATCTCCTGGTTGGGTATTCTTACACCGCCACTACGCGGTCAAGCAAAAATATATAACAATTAATGCATTTAATTTAACATACTCACAGCAAGCCTGTTGCCCAATTTCAAAGCAGCCTTTGCGTCCGTTTCGGCAGCAGCGAGTTCTTTTGAAAGCCGCTCCATGTCAGCTTCTAGCCGGGCTTCGGCTGAAGTCAATTTAACAAGCGCCTCATCCGCTTCTGTCACTGCTGTCGCCTTTTTGTTGGGCTCAGCTGAAAAATCATGAATTATGTGAAGAAAAAGATTGTGAGGAAACCTACACGTCTGGGGAATTAAAAAAGAAATATCTATAATATAAAAATGAATCGCTGAATGTGTTGCTAAGCGCAAATCTCGAGAGCAGCTAAACCGATTTCGCTAATTCTTGTTTTATAATACTCCTTGAAGTACAAAGATGGTTTTTAGGGAGAGAAAATTTTAAAAAAATTGCCTGAAAAAGTCTAAAAACAACACTTTTCTATATTCCCATACAAAAGTTTCGTAATAATACTTAAAAGTCAATTTGAAGTTTAATACCATACCATAAAGTTTAAGTGTTAGTGGAGGGGTTCCGGGAAGGCAAAACTATTGAGTGACGTTAGTATCGTATAAACATTAATGTCAATATTTGTCAATATTTATAAGATGGTAACATTACTCAAAAACAAAATTAGGATTTCGCGCAAAAAAAATTATATCCATGAAATCGTAGTAAATTCCACGCGGGCGAAGTCGCGCCACAGCTAGTTTCAAATAAAAGTAAAGTATGCCAGCACACATGAATGCAGTACGGTGGACACTTTTTTGCTCTAAAACCCTCCAAGAAATGAGAGGAGGTCTATGCCTACCAGCAGGTCGTATATAGGCTATAACTTCACTTTTTGTTCCTTCCTTTTCACTATTATCAATGATTAGCTGTAACCAACAAGTACTGCTACACCTCTTTTCTTGTCGCACACAACAACTCACAAAATTTCATCGTAATAAAATGAATGGTATAGAAACACATATATCGGAATCCTTGGCGTCGACATATCGAATAGCGTGCAGTTTCGTGGTCACTTGGAAGGGAAGGCCAAATTGGCCTCTAAAAAGCTTGGCGTGCTCAGCAGAGCGAGACAGTATTTCATGCCGGCACATCGCTTGCAACTTTACAAAGCGCAAGTTCGGCCCCACATGGAATACTGTTCTCATCTCTGGGCCGGGGCACCCCAGTGCCAGCTCCTTCCACTTGACCGCATCCAGCGCAGAGCGATTCGAATCGTCGACGACCGAGTTCTTTCCGATCAGCTCGATACACTGGCACTGCGTAGAGATGTTGCATCTCTTTGCGTATTTTATCGCATCTATCACGGGGAGTGCTCTGAGGAATTGTTCGGACTAATTCCAGCCGCTCAATTTCACCATCGCACGTCGCGACAAAACTCGCGTTACCATCCGTACCATCTGGATGATTGGCGGTCCACCACTGTGCGATTTAGAAGAAGTTTTCTCCCTCGCACAACTTCTTTGTGGAATCAATTACCAGCGAATTTTCCGAACCGATACGACTTAGGAACCTTCAAGAAAAGAGCTTACACCTTTCTAAAAGGCCGGCAACGCATCTGCAATTCCCCTGGTGTTGCGGTTGTTCATGGGCGGCGGTAGTCACTTACTATCAGGTGAGCCGCAAGCTCGTTTGCCCCCTATTCTATAAAAAAAAAAATATGGCGAACCAACAAATGTTCACATTTATCATCATCATCATCAGCAGCATCATTACAGCCTATCACTAGTACACAGCTGACTGTCTGTGACTGTCTAGCGTGTTTTATAACACCATCCATTGGAAGACATCAATTGTGGCATTTCCCAAATACCAGAAACAGACACATGCCAGTTGTACCAGTTACTCGACTCCGCCGAGTCAGTAATTCATTCTTGGGGAGATGTATATGCTTGTACAACAAAATCCCAGAAAATATACAAAATTTGACAACCACATAGTTCAAAAACTTTACTAAACAAAGTTTATCTAAAGAGTGTTATTACACATCATAATATTAAGGAATTCATGGATGATAATAACCCCTGGGAATGAGGTGATTGCTACCAATACCAAGCTATTTCTAATTTGTTATGTGTAGTTAATTGTGTAACATATGATTGTAAGCTATTCCTTTTTATAATAACATCCCACTGAGTTTCTTGCTGGTTCTTCCCAGGACAGAGGTTTATTTCGAACCAGTGGTAAATTAAACAAAAGAGTGACTTTCAATATGTATTATTTATAATCTATATTAGTAGAGTAGTAGAAATAGTTAAGTAGAATATATAACAGTATTTTCGCTCTTGTGACCGGTAGCGAAGCCTCTATAGAAGCCGAGAAGCGGGCTTGCCCTATCAAACTGCTCAATCAATAATATCAACTAATAAAATAACTCGTAAACTGTTTCAAAGCGCTCCTCTGTTCTACACAGGTCATGACCTCTTATGTAACGTCAACACTTGGCAGATTGTTTTCAATTCGAAATACACTCATTCGTGTTCTCTCTGTCTCAAAGCGAACACGCAGTTGAGCAGTTAGCCGTCTCTCTCGCACGCGTGGGCTTTTTACCGGGCTTTCGAGAAGACGATCGCTCCCTTTCTAACCTGTGGCAAAATGTTTTATAATGAAATATAACTACGATTGTTTATATAGCAATTAGTATGGAGCCAAAAGCCCAACTTTTGGTGTGAAGTTGTCGAGCGCGGGGGCGCCCGGGCGATACGTTTGCAACTTCACTTCACATTTAAATGTTTACTCTGTGTGATTACTTGAGCAAATTAATATTGCGAGTTGAAAATTTATGCTTTTTTAAAGATTTTTAGTGAAAATGGAGGATTATAGTGTTCCTTGTGATGAATTGAAGTGTGTTAGAGTGCTGATCGGCGAGGAAAAGGTAAAATCTTTAAACTTTGTTGAGAAAAAACAGCTCACATCCACATAAACAGTTATTGATACAATTAAAACGTTCACCAACATTTCACACGGACGTAATGAAATCTTTCTTTAAGAAAGATACGGATCGATTTAGAATACAAATAATTTGTTTTTTATTTTTAATTTTGTACATAGTTTGTTTGTAATTTGTTCATGCTTTTCTTTTGTTCATGTATTGTATGTAAATATCTTTATCTTTCGCTCAAGCAAACCCAAACGGCTTTTTTCAAAGCCACCGAAGGTATTCATATAGTCATACAACCTATCTAGCAATAGTAAGCCTTCTGTGTGCTTTGTTAAACACGTCCTCGACAGCACTGAATATGAAACTGAAGAGTGGAGACAGATCAAGATTGGTGTATTTTTATAAAACTGCTAAAAACAACAGAACCATATCTTGGGCTTGCCCTAGTTTGGAGCCCTAGCTTCGCTACTGCTTGTGACGTTCTTAATTTCAGCTGAATTGAGTACATACATATTTATTTTTATACATTATGTCAAATAAAGGTATTAGAGAAAATTATAACGGTATATTGGACGAGTAAATCATAATGATAGTTCACGGGTCAACTGTATAATGACGAGTATTTAAACATTGATATGAATACACACAACATTCAAATAGCACAAGAAAGAGCGTTTACATGTTCGTACTCGTGCCTATTCGTCTGTGCTCAGCAAGTATCTAAATGTCGCATAACATTTTAAATTGTTCTTTGTAGTAATTCTATCGCAAAAGCATGAATTTGCTGTGAAATAATCCAATATATTAAGCGCAGGGAAGCACTAGGGGCTGGCCGTGATGCGGCATGCCCTTGCAGCAGACCGCACTTCGATTTTTATATGAAACCGCATGATATAGACGCACTGACTTGCGACCAGCCGTCAACTGCACCGATTGAATGATGCGACGCGCCGCAGCCCCTCCACGCACTCGGCGCGGTTAGCCGTAAGCCATTGGATTCGCTTAAAGAAAAATCGATCTCCAATTCGATTCAAATCGAATATACTAGAATCGATATAAATATATAACTGCTGTAACTTCTTCAATGTCCATTATATCCAATATTTCTCGAAGCACTGACAATTGCGGTGGACCACAATGGAACCGATACGATGCGGTGAGCCGGAATGCGGCGTACCGTTGCGGCAGACTTTATATATACTGCGGCCTGCCGCGACGGCACGCCACATTACGGCACGCCGCATCACGGCCCGCCGCTAGTGCGTTCTTGAACTTAAATATTATGATAACATGTTATATCCTGATTGCATTCATTCATACAGCTTATCAAAAGTCCAATGGTTCATAGGGGAGATATTTGCCATAATTACCATGCTTGGCAGATAAGTAAAGAATTAAACATAAAACATAATAAAATTACCCAGTTTGACCACGTCCCCCTTCTTCACAGCAACACCCTGTGAGACCAGGTAGCCCAAGATAATTTCAAATGTTTCGCGACTTCCTTGCCATTGGCTGTATTTCATCAGTTCATCAATTGTGCCAATTCGTGTCTCCCCAGGTGGGTAGCTATCTATGAATTGTGTTGCTTGCTCCTGAAAATATTACATTATAGCTGTTATGATCATAACATTCGAGCGCATCTGAAAATACTAAACAAATAAAACCTACGGTAAGTCAATTATGTATGCAAAGATTTTTCGAAAAAAAAAATTCAGACTTTTTTTTATTGTCAGATAGAAATTGCTAAAAGCAATTATGACCACTGCATACAGAGTTTTCCTTAGTATTATTTGTTATTAAAATAGGTGACAAACGAGCACACAGTCCACCTGATGGTAAGTGGTTGCTGTGGCCAATAAACATCTAAATCTATCCTCAATAAAGAATCAAAATGCAGATGCGTTGTCAGCCTTGAAGACTAAGGTGGAATGCCTCTTTTCCAGTATAAAAGGTTTCCAGTTCTCTACACTCACCATACGAAACACAGCAGCATTAACATGTTATTTTACACTGGTATTCTGTGAGCATCAAGGTCGTTGTAGACGATGCATGCTCCGACTATAAGCCTATTAACGCTGGTGTTCCACAAGGCTGCGAATCAATAATATGTTGCTAACTGGTAACATTCATTGCTATGCGGATGACAGCACTGGTGATGCTCTATACATTGGCCGTGCCAATATTTCTCGGGAAAACGTCGCCGAGTACCGGAACAAACTTGTGTCTGAAGTCGAGTCTTTGCTGAACAAAGTCTCGGATTGGGGGCGACTAAATCTAGTCCAGCTTAATCCTCAGAAGACACAAGTTTGCGCATTTACCGCTAAAAAGAACCCCTTTGTCGTATCTCCTCAGTTTCAAGGCACTCCCCTTGTTGCCTAAGCCAGTACGTCCTCTGTCGTTTCTCGGCGTCGACATATCGAGTGACGTGCAGTTTCGTGGTCACTTGGAAGAGAAGGCCAAATTAAAAAACTTGGCGTGCTCAGCAGAGCGGGACAATATTTCATGCCGGCACAACACCTGCAACTTTACAAGGCGCGGGTTCAGCCTCACATGGAATACTGTTCCCATCTCTGTGCTGGGGCTCCCCAGTGCCAGCTCCTTTCACTTGACCGCATCCAGCGCAGAGCGGCTCGAATCGTCGACGACAGAGTCCTTTCCGATCGGCTCGATTCATTGGCGCTGCGAAGAAATGTTGCATCTCTTTGCATTTTCTTTCGCATTTACCATGGGGAGTTGTCTGAGGAATTGTTCGGATTAATCCCAGCCGCCAAATTTCACGAACGCACATCGCGGCAGAACTCCCTACACCATCCACACCACCTGGATGATTGGCGTTCCACCACTGTGCGATTTAGAAGATGTTTTATTACTCGCACAACTTCCTTGTGGAATAGTTTACCACCAGCGATTTTTCCGGACCGATACGACTTAGGGACCTTCAAGAAAAGAGCCTACTCCTTTTTAAAAAGTTGGCAACGCATCTGAAATACCCCTGGTTCCCCTCGTGTTGCAGTTGTTCATGGGCGGCGGTGGTCACTTGCTCGTTTGCCCTCTCTCCTATAAAAAAAAAAGATTGTGGTCTACTATACTATAAATATAGCTGCAGCTTGGCTCTACCACATACAGAATCGTGTTAAAAGTTTAAATTTTTATTTACGACATTATGAGTAATTTTTTTCATATATAATACTCATGACAAACAAGCACACATCTACATCTGTCCTCGATTGAGAAACAAAATGCAGATATATAGTCACCCGTGAGGTTTAAATGGAATGCCTCATATTTACAGTAAAAAGGGTCTCTGGTTCTCTATGAAACACAGCATTGAGATGCTATTTCACACTGGTATTTTGTGTTATGTTCTAACCAAGCCATTTGTACAGCAACCATAATATAGCTGCAGTGTGGCTCTACCATGTATTATTAGTAATTTCTCTACAAATGATCTATAAATTTACAAGGTGGTAAGATTTTTTATTTTTGCCAAGGAGTCAAGCAGGGTAGGTACCATCCTCTTACCTATTTCTGCCACGAAATAGCTGTGCCTGCAACGCTGTGTTCCAGAGAGACAGTATAGAGAGCCAGAATAATTAGAGGCTGTGAGGTATTACATCTTATATACTAACTACTAATATACAAAATTTGACCTGCTCAAAGTTCAAAAACTAAGTTTGTATAAAAAGGGTTATTATAATATTAAGGAATTTACGGATGATAATCATCCCTGGGAATGAAGTGATTGTTACCAAGTTATTTCTAGTTTGTTTTATGTTGTTAATTGTGTAACATACATGATTGTAAGCTATTATTTTTTTTAAAAGTGCCACTGGGTTTCTTCCTGGTTCCTCCCAGGACAGAGGCTGTTTTTTTTCGAACCAGTGGTAATTAAACAAAACAGTGACTTTCAATATGTATTATTTATAATCTATATTGAATAAAAAAAATCTATTCTATTTCTTAGTCTTTAAAGGATATGCGCCTGTGCATGTACTTTCAACCTATGAGGCAATCCACCTTAGCTGCAGGTGTCTTTGTTTGGTGTTAATAACATAATCACTTATCAGTTACCAATCACATAAATGATATTTTATAATACCTTCATGTATAGGTGTTGTTATGGTAGTTATAAACAGGGTTGGCTGATTTAAAAAATCATTGATTTAAATCAACATTTATAAATTAATGTAACAGGCAGAAAATCTTTTGTTGTTTTATGTTATTCTTATTATTCTACTACAATAGTCTCATAAACTTTGGAAAATCAACAAAGACATAGCGATGAAGTCTGTCAGTCTCATAAACTTAGTAAAATCATTTTTTTTTAGAAATTCACCCTTAATATATGAACTGTAATTAATACAGTATGAATTATTTTACTTTTAATCAATCTCACACATATCTGTTTGTAATGTCAAAATTACGGCTTTTTACTAAATTCGTACGAAAGTTTATATGATACATATAACCAAAACACAATTTTTTAAATTTTTGTCTGTCTGTTTGTTCCGGCTAATCTCTGAAACGACGGAACCAATTTTGACGGGACATTCACTGGCAGATAGCTGATATCACAAGGAGTAACTTAGGCTATTTTTATTTTAGAAAAAGAATTAGGGTTATGTGTAAAAAAACTAAAACCCCAAATAACACGCGGGCGAAGTCGCGAGGAACGGCTAATGTATTCATAAACTTTTAATCCTACTGTGTCAGTGTTACCAACTCGTGAATTTCCAAATATACAAAAAAAAAATCAAAAATATCATGATTTTTTAATAAAAATCAGCATGATTTGATTAAAATTCAAAAAAAATCATGATTTTTTCCATCCCTGGTTATAAAATCTATTACTAGAGTTGTGCCCTCATAATTGGAGGCTTAATTTGTTAATACAATATGATTTATTGAACATAGACATAAATAACACTCCTTTTAAGTGATTTATTACTTTCAGATTAACTTTTAAAAAAAATAGCCTGCCACCAACTTTAACAAAGAAGGCTATAGTTGTGTTCTCACCTCTGAAGGTTAAGATGGAAGGCCTCGGAACCTATAATTATACTCGTTCCCTTCAGACCAGGACCCAGTAGTGCACGCATTGCATGCACAAATAATATGGTGGTACCCACAACGACAGATTCCTATGCAGGAAGTTCTACCACCTATTAACTATAAACTAACCACATTGAACAAAACTACTTTTATGGATTCTATTAATTGCCAACGTTTCGGGTGCTTTACAGCATGGTCATGGGGGACTGAGGTGATTGACGTCCCGATGTCAGACTTAACCCGTAAAAGTAGTTTAATTCAATGTGCAGTGTTCGCCTAAATATAAGAAATCATTATTTAAAATAACCATTTTTACATTTTACTTGTTTGCTTAAAATTAGGCTCCATGAATGAAATACTAATTACCTTTACAGCACTCTCCAGAACAAATCTCTGTGTAGATTCAATGCTCGCTTTGGGTAATCCATCATTATCAAGTTGCTGTCTCGCAGGCAGAAGTGACAGGACTGTAGATACAGCAAAAACGGCAGGTCTGAATGCCATTCTCGCACTCCAATGTAACAAGCTCTCGGGACCATTGTGTAAAATTTGTACATATTTTGAGATAGGTGATAAATCTCCACCCCTGTAAGTAACAAAAAGAGGATTACTCATTTACACCTTGTATTAAAGGTACCTAAATACTTTAACTGTTGATACATTATAGAGTTTGAGCAAAAATTAATATAACTTATCATACCATCTGACAATACTATTATTTGGTGGAAAACTGTTGCCTAAACTAGGTAAAACCTGTACTTTAGGTCACCAGGTCGTCACATGTAGACCTCTGCAGAGGAAGCAGGTAGATGTAGTTATAATAAGTAATTTCCTACATAATTGAACAACAAAACAAGATACTGAAGTGATATTTGAGAATGTATGTATAGATACATGGATGTAAAAGGAGTGAGAGGTGTCTCAGGTTCATGTCAAATGGAAGCCTGTAGTCCCTGCCTTCCTCTCTAGTTGAGACATGAGAGTTTATGTATGTATATAAAATGAATAAATACATGAGATTGATGATATGATGATGGCAAGAGTAGTCAGATAAAAAATATATGTCAAACCTTAGGCAGTCACGTGCAATACATATAGATCATTGCTATTGACTTACTATTGTGTCTGAAAACTGGACAGTGAAAGTGTTAAGATCTACTCTAACATTGCAAATTAGTCTAGTCTAAAACATGTGTTTCAATGCCTAAATATTCTATAATTTAGGCATTGAAAAGTGATTTGTTTCAATTCTATTGATATATTTATTTATTTATTTATTTATGCTTTATTTGCACACAAAGTACAAAAAGGCGGACTTAATGCAACAGGGCATTCTCTACCAGTCTACCTCCAGGCTAAGCAGAGAAAATATTGTGGGCGCAAAGTGCAAACAGCTAAGTAAATAACATCTATGTCTACATAATACATACAGTATATATACATATATGTATATACATAAATATATATAAATACATACATACAATTATTTACTTACTACTACTTATTATACACATACTACTTATTATACATATATATACATAATTAAATATGGCAGTTTCTGATTCAAACTCCAATAACAAATGTAAAAATGAAATATATGGAATATATATGTGATGAATGAATATAAAATGCATTTAGAACTTAATGTCAAGGTTCTAAAGTAAATGTTAGCAAAATTATTGATTAAAAAAGAGATAAGTTACTAGGTGATATTCACAAAGTCTGCTAATTGTGAATTACATAGGTCATTTAAATTAACATTGAGAACATCAATTTTGTAATGTTATAGATGTTTAACTTACTCACTTGATCAATTATGGTGTGCAAAAAATATAAAAAATTTACTACAAAAATGATTTTTGAAGTATTTTAATACTTCAAAAATGATCTAATATATAAAAAATAATTTTAGTTTATTCATATTTTATGTGGTGCCCTACGATTCGTCAGACTATGCAAAAATTTTTACAACTTTTTGCTTACACTTGCACAAAGGTTATAGTAGGTCTCCATAACTTCCCAACAAACTTATTGGAAATTTATATACCATTTAATTTCAAGGCATTCCTACTATCATTCCTGATTAAACAATATAACCCTTCCTAATTTAAAACAATATTTCCACCAATATTTTTTCTGCAGCAGCAATGCACTGGGTACCAGCTAGTAATAAATAAGTACACAGTGTGAAAATAATTAATTAACTATAAACTGTTATGGTTACTTCTAGTGCCTAGATAGGAGATTACTACTAGCTTGAGAGAAGTTTATTGTGTCAGAAATTACATGTCTTAATTACTCTGTAACCTTTCCACCATGGTTCTACTATATGGACATTCACCCCTATTTTATTGATATACCATGCATTTGATACAAACAATTTGCTTTCTATCCAATTACAATATGGATGTCTTTAAGAAAAGAGAGAATAGGCTTTTGTTTCACTAAAGCAGTGCAGTTTACTATCTAGAATTTGATCACAACTTACCGGTAAGTGGGATAATAAGTTAAAAAGTAGACATTTTAAGAAAATTTTATTACACTTTAATAAAAGGTTGTTTCTAATAAAAATCAATGTCTATTTCAGTAACACTTAAAGTTGCTATCTCTGTTTTCACTAAATTATAATAGAAAAAGACAGGCATAGTGTATTTAACTGACCAGTGGCTATACACAGAAAAGACAATATGCACATATGTTTTAGTATTATTACACTATGGCTTCAAGATTAAAAAACATGACATAGCTAATGTTGATATTAATACTTTATAGTAGTAGAATACAATGAAAATTTTGGCATTAATCCAAAACATTAAACACTATAAGCAGGCCCTAAGTTGTGGGCTAAAACTGCTATAATTGGACACAACTATATAGGATTATTTCTATTATATTATATTTCTCTATATTAGGAATTATTTCTACGCACCTATACATCTCCTCGATGACAATGTCAATGCAAGCCGCGGTGCGGCCCTTCCTTTGGAAAGCACTTTTTACATCAGCAGCTGAAACAATAGGATCGGTTTTATAACGGCACCACTGTCGCACCAGATCCGACCAGAACTTCATCTTCATGTTCCAAGATTCTGGGTTCGCTGATTTTATTCTAAACGGCGCAAACAATGCATTCATTCGAACATCGTCCGACCAGCATTGTGGGAGCTTATCGCTCGGTATTTGACGGTCCGTTAAACCCATAATGTGTTTTTATTTTACTCAAATTAATTTATTGGGAACTAAAATATTAAACGTTTATATTAAAAAATTAAAAGAAAAATAGGTAAATAAAAAAGCATGCACGATAATCAACACCTTGACGTATGGAAAACGAAAAAAAATTATCAACTAAAATAACCTAGAGGACAGTACTTATTTTTTTGTTATTAAGATTTTTGGCTTGGATGCATATCTTTTGACCCAATTCTTCATTTTCAGACATTCTTTCGGGATTTAATTAGTAATAATTTTAATATATTTAACTTAAAATCTGCGGTAGTGAATCGGTTGAATGGCCTCCCGGAAGAGGGAATCACTGGAAAAATTGAGAGTGCGCACACATCGCAGAAAAATCCTATCACGTACTACACAACAACCAAGACGAACTAACACCAAGCTTTACATCTGCCACCCAAGGGCGTAGCTGTATCAGCCGTATCAATGATATGGGGCCCCGTGCTGCAGAGGCCCCGAACGTATGTAAGCAAAAACTTTAAGGACTTCTATGGGACAGGATGTTGGTTTGAATTATTTGGCTAGCTTAGTTACTAGGGGTATTAATTGGAAGTAATAACTTATAATCAATATATAATTATTTTAATTCAATGCGAGAGTTTTTGTTCCTTTTGTTAAAAATCTTTGCCTTTCATTTGGGCCCCCCCGACAAATTTTGATACAGGGCCCCTCTACTTCAGGCACGCTACTTCACTGCTGCCACCGTTAACTACGTGCCAGAACATCGAGCTACGAAATTCGCATTCTCTTCTTCTAAATTTTTACTACAATCGACTAACTACTTCAACTACAACATAATGCTACAACTTCAACAACAGTGTTTTAACAGCATCAAAACTCTCGGCTCTACTCGTAACTAGAAGAAAGATAGTCAAGGCAGAAAAAATCAAGTATACTTATTGAAACAACTGGAGTCTCTCGAGGCGCACTGGAGCGACTTCAGTGAACGACACAAACAACTACAACAACCTTATGAAGATGAAAACATCAACTACATCACCGAAAATATGTTCAAAATTACTAAGCAACTTTTCGAAACTACTAAGAAAAGCATGGAACACCTATTACAAAAACTACGTTAATCAAAACCTGTGGAATTCGACTTAACTAATATGGGGGATAGCTCCGACGAAACTTCATTTTCAAATTTGCTACTGGATATACAAATGTGCAACTTAAAAGCTCTCGACCGTGCTATGTCAAAAATTGACCTATAAACTATCACCGAGAAGTGGGAGCTTCAAAATCATCTTTCCATACTAAAAACTAAATAAACAAACTACATTGGAAATTAGAAGCTAAGTACAAAGGCTCTAACGTCAAGTACTACAACATAATATTTGTCGAGATGGAAGAATTATATTCGAGAATCTGGTCAACTATTTATGAGTTCATGACGAAACATCTGCGCAAAAAATGGAAATTCCTGAATTTTCTGGCAACTACACTAAATGGGTTTCATTTACAGACCTCTTCATGGAAGCTATTCACAAGAGTCCAATCGCAAAAGATGCAACATCTCAAGTCCAAGCTAAGGGGTGAGGCTGAGCGCATAGTGTGGCATCTCAGTATCAGTGCAGACAATTATAAGTCATGCTGGTATATATATACTAAAGCTACACTTTGGGAAACGACGCCTTTTAGTTCACATCTTTCATCAACACCATGCTCAACCTGCCTGCTAATACAAAATCTCGACAGCTACAATCATGAAGTTATAGATAAAGATAGTGACCACACTTGGAACAACAGCTTGAGTCAAATACCTACGTATCTTTATCTCACTCTCTGTGGTCTGACTTCTCTTTTTAGTGTGGAATACAGTATTGCTATGTTTTTGTTTAAATCTCCTGGTAAATTCTTAGAAATAGTTTCCACAATGACGAAATCAGAAGTTAAGCTCTGTAAAATAATATTCCAATAAATAAATAGTTTAACTAATATTAGTTACATTAAAATTTCCAAAATTGAAGGTCTCGTATGCATTATTGGGTTAACGAATCAGTGAATTACAATCCCATTTCCTAAGGGTTCGGTAGTATGGCAACATTAGCCCTATATGTCAACTTAAATTAGACAAATATGGCGGTTGTTTTCTTAGCAGTTCACAGCGTCGTTTGAGATAATTATTGTTATAATTCAAGAAATGGTGCAAACTAGTGTAGTACGTGGATGCGGCAGTAGTTGGTGTCCAGGAAGTGATATAAGAGTGTTTAAATAGTGACTTCTGGCATTGAATACTTGTAAACATGCTTCTTTGTATTTTCACTTCATTTTTGCTGAAACGTTTTATGTGATTTAAACATATTAGTAAATTATAACTTTGTCAAAATCAAATAGTTTTACTTTGAATTTAATTGACTGAACAATTTCATTGTTTTTGTTTAAAAGAAATCGCACTGAAGTAGTGTGACCATATTGACGATGTATCTGAGACTTTCCGTGTGACCTTAACTAATTATATGTACATGTTTCTTATTATGTTACCGGAAATGCATGAAATTTAGGAATTATATACAATTCCTATGTATTCTATGTAATGACGGATTTCATAGATTTCATAATATTAAATTAGAAATTAGTAACACAATATATTCTTTTGGCAGACAATTTATTTTTACTTAGTTTTTGTTTCTCATTATTCTGATACTTTAATAACGTTTACAATAATTACGAATATTTTTTTAGATTTCCTAAAACAGTACTCGGAGGAATTTGTTGTTATCCATTGTACCATTGAAAATGAAGTATTATGAAAGTGCAAGGATTTGCAATTTGCATTTTCATGAATCAGATTATGATTCAACAACAAGGCGCTTAAAACCAACAGCAGTTCCTGCTGTTATAAGAAATCGAGAAACAGTATCACCAGGCAAGGTAAAAATTTAATATAATTTAATTATCTATTTTTCGTAATATATTATGTATTTATAAATGTAGTAGTTTAAATGTATGATATAAAGCAACATTTTGTAAAATATGTTATCATTTGCAGACAACAAGTGCATGACATGAAGAGTCTATTGTGCTAATAGCTGCTCTGGCTGTACCAAGCACTAGTTCTGGAATTAATGAAAGTAGTTCTGCACTTAAGAAAACAGGAGAGAAATGTACTGGCTGTAATATTGAAGACCAAACTAATAAAAAACAATGTCGGAAAAATTTTTCATAATTTATGCAATCTGAACAAGTTACCTGTAAGTTTCCTTTTCCTTTATTACTAAATACATACCTTTTATTTGTATTTATTATGACTTTAATATTACATACATAATGTATTATATAGCTTAAAACACATACATATTTAAACTCTTTAGTGCCAGTCGCAGTGTGGTAACCGTTACTACGACACTAAGCATGAAGCTTCTTGTTTGATGATTCATTTATGTGTTACCTATTAAGTGATGTAAATTTGTACTGACATTATCACATAAAAGAGTTATTTGTTTCTTTTTTTTTGTTTAATTCTCTAATCTCTGGAACCATACCAGTCAGATTTGAAAATTATTTTTTTGCATTTTTAAAACCAATTCCTCAGGAAGGCTGTCTAACATCACTCTACGACCCTAATGAGCGGAGCAATACTATGTACGATGCTAAAAATACTGATTTTATAAAGTTTTCTTGTTTTTAGGTCAGCAGTGAATACGACGACGTGCATGTTAAAATAAAGTGTACTAAAGAAGAAATACTAGAGTCGAAAACTAAGATTCTTAAGCAAAAATTGGCGCGCCAAACTAAAATAATTCAGGATAGGTCTTCTTTAATGGCAACTAATAAAAAGTATACGGGTCAGTCAGAAATTCAGAATATTTATTCAAGGGTGCTTTGCTGATATCTGTAAGGACAGAGTTATCCACATGATGTGTAATATTTCAATAAATAATTTTAATATGGAAAGTATTTTTATTTATTTTTTTTAAGGTTTTTTTTTATATGTCATCGATCCTGTTATAGTACATATGTTACTAAAAATCTATGAAATCAGTTATTATATAGAATTCCTAGGAATTTTAGATAAATCGTAAAATGTGTGGTATATAGTATTATACACATTTCAGCTCAGAGCAGCCTGACTCGGATGGGTTAGGTCAGAAGGCTAAGGCAGGAGCTCCGCTACGCTCCTTTAGTCCTCGTGATATTTTTCTAAAATAATTGTCTAGAAATAGATTTAGTCTTTCTAAACAATAAATCAGGTATATTTTGCCCAATTCATTGATCATCCGGGGTGTTATAATAAATTTTAATTTTATATTTCGTCGGTACCGTTAAGGTATTGTATACAATATCCAGAAAATACATTATCGAAATGGTAGTAATAAAATATTTTCTGATATATTTATTTTCCACATTTTCTAAATAGGCTCGGTATTATATGGGTTGTAACGGAAATGCGTGGTCATATTTTAAATACCGGTTCTGCCCAATGAAAACCTTTCTTCATAAAACCAATTTCCCAAAAACATTGTATATATATATATATATATATATATATATATATATATATATATATATATATAATCTATATAGGCTAGGTCTTAGTAGTAAACAGAGATGTAAATATTTATAAATAAACCACTTAATTTAATGCAACTACTTATAGCGACATCCTGGGAAAAATAAAATAAAGGTTACCTACTTAGAAAGAGAGGGTCTGCCCACAGAGAGCGAGATAGTAATACATAGGTTGAGCTTCAAGTAGGTATTCGGAGTCTGGTCTCCATCTTTATCTATAACTTCATGGTGCATATGTATATTATACAGTAATCTATTACTCTACTCTACTCTATGCTGGAGGTGGGCAAAGTGTATCATTTTTGTGATTGGAACATTTGCATCTCGATCACTGAAATGTTCCGAAACACTGATATGTTTCATTTGGATCATCGACTCAAAAGATATAATAATAATAATAAATCCTTTATTTCGACCAACAATAGTCATAGATTGTTAGTAAAACTTACTTA